GGTCTAGAGGTTTAGGGGTTTAGGGGTTTAGGGTTTAGGGGTTTAGGGTTTGGGGTTTCGGGTCTTCTTCTGGTTGGCTCTTACTACTGTAGCTTTTTGGGCTTCTATACGAACTATAATAAGTAGACCAAAAGTGTAACTTGTCGGAGGTCAGAAGTCAGCCAAGGATAGCTAATGAGCCCTACACCTCTAGCAGGTTCAGGGTTTGCTTAGATAGATAATGGGTTTAGGGGTATAATGAGAGAACTTTATAAGCTTTTTTGGCCTTGTATAGTTGGCCTCTCCTAGAAAGTTTGAACTTTGAGGGGGCCCGCTTACAGTATTGAAAAAGAGTTTGAAGCTTCTTAAGATAACTGCCTGAATCGTTATCATAGGAATGGTGGGGGTACATTATAACATGCTTATCTTTCAGGAACCCCAAGGGATAATTTTGGTAATTACTCAGGCTTCTATCTTATGTTGGCTTTCAGGCTAGCGGGCCTCCTTGAACCCTAAACCCTTGACCTCACTCACTGGGTAATGCTTTTGTTGACAGGGGTCCCCCCCAAAGGGGGCTAAACCCTAGACCGGCCCTAAACCCCAAACCCTAACCCCCCGCCCCCCGAACCTCCCAGCTCCACACCCCTAACCTTCCCTAAACCCTAAACGCAAAACCCTAAACCCTAAACAGTACCGATAACCTATCCTTTAAGCACCAGCAAAGCCGGAAATGCGACGTTAGATAGCAACCTAAGTAATTACCACTATCATCTCGTAGGGCTCCTTCTTAGAAGCATAAGGGTTTAGGGTTTAATGGTTTTAGGGTTTAGGGTTTACGGTTTTAGGGTTTAGGGCTTAATATATACCCCCCCCCTCATTTCTATTCTAATGGTTAAGGCCCTTATCTTACGAAGCCCCATGACCGCCCTCTAGCTCCGGATGCAGGATATCAGCTCGCTGGCGAGGAAGGTTCACCGCTTCGAGCGACACTTTCCTTATTTGCCCTGAACCCTAAACCCCGAACCCTAATTATTATTGCTACGGCGTTTGTAGGGTTGCCATAATCTGGGCTTGTCTCTAACTTAGGGTCCTTTTTGAGGTCCCAATATAGTACGGCACTCTTGTCAAAAGGCCCTCAAACGGGACCCTAATTTCAATACAATACCCATATGTTATACTAGTAAGTAGTAGCAAAGATTGCAATAAACTCTTGTGGGTTAAGTTTGTTGTTTAAAGCCTTTCGGCTTGTCGCCCGCATCGTGGGTAACATTAGAGTTCACTAACTTCCCTAGGTTTACGGTTTAGTTTAGGGTTTAGGGTGCAAGCTACAGCCAGATATGGCATAACTTCATCATTTCATTCCCCCCCACCTCACCTAAACACCAAACAACACCTGTAGTCTCATTCTGCAAGCCCCTTTGAAGAATGGGGGACTTAGTACGTAGTTAGCTTGTTGAATTTTAAGTATCATGCCCCCAATTAGTATACAGTCGATGGTGCTTATAACTCTGCTTCTTACCTGCTTGGGTAGTTATCTAAGTTGTGTCCCTTCCCAGGTCCTCAAAATGTACGGCACCTTTACCAAACAAACGGACCCTCAAAGGGACCCTGATTTAGAGAATTATCCACTTACTAAGTCCCCCTAAACCCCAAAACTCGGAACCCAAGACCCAAAACTCCAAACCCAAGACCCGAAGCCCTCAACCTTAAACCCTAAACCCACACTTACTTTTGCCTTCCGATCCTCCAAGTGCCAAGAGACCCAAAGGGCCTCCCGAGGTCTGAAAGGGCCCTCTCACCTTGCTGAGGGGTTAAGGCTTGTAGGGTTTAGGGCTTCGGGTTTAGGGTTTAGGGTTTAGGGTTTAGGGTTTAGGGCTTCGGGTTTATAGGATTGAGAGTTTAGGTTTTCTACACGGCTTCAACATTTGAGATATAGTTTTCTTCTTGACTTCCCCAGACAGTTGTATAAGCAGCATGCGCTCGAGTTTCCTCGCAAAGACATCTGATTCTAGGGCATTTTCAGATACCGTTATAGGAGCCTTATAGAAGGTCTATATACCTTATGGAAGCAATATAGAAGCCTTATATACCCCAAAACCCCCAAACCCTAAACCCCTAACCCTAGACCCTAAACCCTAAACCCTAAACCTCAAACCCTAAACCTTAAACCTGTAGTTTCCTTTAACTGATGATGCGACCGTACAGTCGACCCTCCACTTCAGGGTTCGCTGCGCGGGAGTCGCGTCATCAAAAGGGGCCCTAAAGCCTAAAACACCGGGGAACCACGAAAACCCTAGGTTTAGGGTTTAGGGTTTTGGGGGGCCCTAAAGCCTAAACCCTCAACCCTAAACTTTAAGCCCTAAACCCCAACCCCTAGGCCCTAGACCCTCAACCCTAAACCCTAAAGCCTAGACTCGGAATCAGCATCTCCAGCGAAGGATAGACAAGAACGTCCATGGTGTTGAGAACTCCTTACCCTAATCCTCTAAATCCCCTAAACGCTAAACCCTAAACCCCCTAAGTCCTCAACGCTAAACCCTAAACCCGAATCCCCAAAATCCCCTAAGCCCTAAAACTTAATCCCTAATCCCCTAAACCTTAATCCCCTAAATCCCCTAAACCCTAAACCTTACTCCCTCATCCATTCAACCCTACTTCGACTTAGAGGATCGGGCTACCCAGGAAGTGGGGTTACAAGTAAGTCAGCTGAGTGGTTATGGCTACTTGAAGCGTTAATTAGGACACTTCTATCCCTACTTACTAATTAAGTCCCATGACATCTATAACCCTAAACCCTAAACTCTAAACCCTAAACCCTAAACCCTGAACCCTGAACCCTGAACCTGTATCTTCCGAGGACTCCTGATGCAGTTCCCACCCTCGCAGAGTGAAAGCATCGACGGCACCATCGAGGCCACAGGGGCAAGAGCTGCAGTGGACATAGGGTTTAGGGTTTAGGGTTTAGGGGTTTAGGGTTTAGGGGTTTAGGGTTTAGGGTTTAGGGTTTAGGGCCTATACAACTAGAATAGGGTTCTGCGTAAACGGTTTTTACTAGTAAGATTTGCTGTAAGGCTTTTGCACAAGGGCATGAAGGCAAGTTTTGCAAGCAAGGGTAATTAAAACGCTTCGCGTCGTCCGTCTCGGCCCGGCCGCAAACAAAGAGGGCCAACGAACTGCTGGTGCTGAAGGCGCCGTTGGCGGAGCGGATGAGGGGAAGGGAGGAGATTGCGTTCGGCGGCGCGTCAAAGGGGGGGAGCGGATGGGGAAGGGAGGAGAAAAGAAAGTGGGGGGGGGGG